TATATATATATATTATTGTTATTATTATATACTGTATATTGTATACTCGGTGCTATATGTATATATGTATATATATATATATGCTATATATATATATATGTCTATCTCTATCATATATATCTTTTCATCATATACCAGGACGAAAGTTCGTCGCATCGGGCAGTGCTACTAACATGTACTTGTAAGCCCCCTTCCCCCATAGACTCCTCCACAGACGCTTTGAGGCGCGGACGCTAGCAATTAATTCCTCGTTTTGAGCGAAAAAACCAGTATATGTTTAAGACAGCCTAGAAATTCCTCCGCTGGCCAGGCCACGTAAACTGCACTTGCTAGTACTCCGACTCTTCCACCAACCAAAGACATGCCAGCGCGACAACAGTTTCGTCCTGCTGATGTATATATATGTACATTTTTACATATACATATGTTTACATGCACACACACACATATATAGAGATAGTCACATATGCCCATGTCATCTATCTATATGTGCATCAGAATATGCTAACGCACCAGTTCATGCGATTTCGATTGCAGCGCGTGGAGGATTATGCAGAGCTTGGACATAGAGTTACTGCAACAGAACTTAGCTAGCGAGTTTTCGCCAAGGTTGTTCAGACATGCAGGCTTGACCATCAGATAAAGTTGTTCGGTAGTGTATTGCTACTTGGTAAAGGGGTGCGGATGAGCTGAGTTTCAGTTGGCCGGTGCTGTAAAATTTCACGAAGGCTTCCCCTTGCGGTGTTTCAGGGGCCGTGGGATAGATTCAGATTGTTGTTGTTGTCTCGTACATTCGTTGCAAGATTTCGGTAATCTGCATTCCCCAGGCATCCAGGCATTTGAAGTTGCAAAATCCAGTGTCTTCTAATTCTAGACCGAAGCATGTTTTCCGGCGATCAGTTTTGCTTTCCCAGAACAGTTCTAGCACATGGCGCAGAGCTCTGGAAAAGCGAAAATGTGATTTCCTGAGCCCGGAGCTATGTGCGCGAGCCCCGTGCGCAAGACACCTACATCGCAAGCAGGAGTCCCCGACTCTCCAACTTAGCGGTGCCGTGCCGAGTGCGGCGACCACCACCGTGCCGGGGGCACGGACGAGGCCGAAGCGCATGGAAGATTTCTGGGGTGAGGGTCTTCGAGGATTGAGGCTTCAGAGGAGAGCCACATAGAACGAGTCGGAGCCGCTCAGACCTTAGACTCACGAGAGGATCCAGCTGGCCATGAAGTGGTCCGACCGCTTGGACGAGAAGACCAAGCGTCTAGCATGACGGCTGCAGTTTTCTGGGGCTTGCCTTATGACGACTTTCGGGCGAAGTCAGCCTTGCCACAAAATGCAACGTTACATGCAGCCAGCGCATGCTGAGAATACATTTTGCGCGAGGGGTCCTTGCTGGCAGGGTTGCTTTGAGTTCCACCCTTGTTGCGCTGTCGACTTCCTGTCCTTGGCCTAGCGGCCTGGTCGGCATGTTCTTGCTGGGTGATGTGAATAGCATCCCTCAAACTCTGCTGGGGCCAAGGCCAGAATCATGCATGGCTGCAAGCGAAGAGGCGACCATGACGAGGATTCATGGAGTAGTGATAGCTGATACTTCGGCTTGGTGTGCAGACTGGTCTCGTAACTGTCTGACCATAAGTAGCACGTACCTTAAGCCGGCTCGGAACATAGGACCCGAAAATCTTAAGCCCCAGTTCAGTTCCAGAACGGTTTACCATCCCGACCACCAGCTGAAGGGTGCCATTCCGACTTTGAGCTGCATACTGCATACTACATATGGGCATGCCCAGGCCCTATACTATAGCATGTTTCGGGAGGCAAACTTGCATTGTTCGGAAGAGTCTTTTACTCTGACATGTCTTCGTCAGAAGAATGCTTTCCTGCTTCTTGGATTTTGGTTGTTGTGGAGGGAGTGTTGTGGGTAGCTTGGGATCATAGCACCAGTCTGCGTGCTCCGAGTTGCAACTCCCCGACTCTGGGCACATGTCTCACCTCCTCACACCGGTGGAATCCTCCGGTCTTGTACCAATGGTAGCGTAGTTTAGTAGGGCAGCTGCTTTTCATCGAAGTCTCTGGCCTGACTCGTCTTTGAGTTTTGAGGAGTGCCGAGTCATGTTTCAATCTGTTCTTGGGACGCCTTGGATGTTGAAGTTCAGGTTACGTCTGGCCGGAGCCCGGCTTGAAATCGGCTTCATCTTGCCTGCCAGGCTTCCGTTTCCATGCTGCGTGCCGCCAGCATGTGCGGTGAGCATGTTTCTTTAAATGCCGTTAATGATGTCATGTAGACACTGTTGAACAGCATGGGCTCCAACTGCGAGAGCCCACTTTAATTTGTTCATGTGGTGCTGGCATGCCCCAGGTGGTCCTCACGGCACCGTTTTGTTCAAGATTGCCTTGTAGAGGTGGTTGTTCTAGATCTGATGAAGACCTCCTGGCGCCTGCCGAGCCGGGAGATCTGTTCAGTTCTGTCCGGCGCGGGCAATGAGATCGAGGTTCTCTGGCACGACAGTGGACACGTGGAAAGGGGGTGGAGGAGATGAGCGATGTAGATGAAATAGGCTCTGCTAGTGGCTCGCCTAACCCGGTGCAGTTGAGGGTTTCTGATGGGTGTTGCCGGTTGGTGTAGCGCAGGAGGCTCGAGCCCCCTCATGTGCACAAAGAGCATGTCCTGTTTGGGCAATATGTGAAGGCAACCCCACGACTTCAGGCCGTCAGTGGATATACATGAGCGTCATACCTCCCTGTCCCCCGACTGCCAGAGCTTAGAGATGAAAGACACGGCTTCTTCCGGCTCCGGTTCCTCAGATGGCCGTGGCCTCAGCTCGCTTTTCCAGACTCAGGACAAGGGTCAAAGATTGAATCCGGGATGGACCTTTGGTTTACCACGGGGTCTCACGGCGGCCGTGCCTGCTTGAACACGGAGCACTATCACTGGCGAGATCCGCCAGACCACCTGAAAACATCTTGGGGAGCAGCCCTGCAAACTCGCCTTGACCTTGACTGTGCACGCCTACTGAAATGATCGAGGTGGTGTCTCTGCATTCGAAGCGCGGATGGCAGCTTGGGAAGCTGAGAACACGGGCGAGCAGGACGGTACCGTCAATTCTTCTTGAAGTTCAAAAACACAACAGCGTTCTAATTCTACACCTTGAAACCGTTGCTTCTGCTGCCGCTTGCAATGAAGTCCAAGCCTAGCTGGAGGATGCCTGCCAAACAGATGGAGTCCTGAAGCCTTTGGAAGGATGATTTCGTGGCTTTCTTCCCAACTGCAGACGGCAGTCCGCACCAGGCCCGAGGATGTTGGACAAGTTCAGCATAGGGAATGCGAGTCTCCGGACCGTTCTGCTCCGATCGAAACATCTGCAGGCGGCAGAGGCCACCCTCCGGCAACATCGAGTGTCCCGCTGCATTGATTCCTTCCTGGGCATTTTTGAAGTCTCCTGGGCAGGATCCGGTTTTATGTTCGTCCGAGGATGGGTATTCGTTGGAAGGACTCGATCTGTGATCTCAGTTGCTCAAGAGCATGCTCACACTCCCCGAGCCTGGGGCGCGGAGGCGCACCCAATCCCACACCTCGAACCCTTGAAGACCCGCAACCGCTACAGAACGGAACACCCGAATACGGCTCTTAAATTGGAGGGGTTCCCAATGCACAAGCCCAGGAGACTTGGCAGCTGATCTCCGACCGCTGGGCTCGGGAGGAAGAGCGGGAGGTGCTGGGCGTGTGATGGGATGATTTCGGTGTCAGCTTCCAGACCTGCCGACGGTGCGCTGCAATTCTAACTGTGTGCAAACCGAACCTTCTTTGTGACCTCCTTGCGCAGTATATCGCGCGGCTTCTGAGCGTCGGGTCGGCTGAGAGGCTTTGGCAGCCATGGAAACCACCATCCGTTCGGCTGCCAGGACCTTTCCCGTCGTTTGCAGGGGCTGAGCTGAGGATACCACATCCTGATGTTCAGAAACTGAACCCCAATATGAGATGTAGATGAAGCTGTCAGAAGCACAACAGCACCATGTCCACGATGACAGACGATGACCCTACTATTGTTTGAGCTTGTGGCAACTCCTTGCAAACTGTGGTGCGTGGGTTCAGCGCATGCAGTGCTCTTGCTGAGGTCTTCCTAAGCCAACCTTGACAGACAAAGTACGGTCATCCAGTTCCCGGCCCTTCGAAAGCAACAGCTCTGCAGCGGCGAGAAACCTGGGAGCCGAGCTGCTCGATGACTACGGCGAGCTGTTGCGCTGCCCTGCGAAGGCAGGGCCGAGGACCTCCTAAAGTCGGTGTGTGCTTTGCTCCGGGGATCGGACGCCTCAAGCTTTGGGTATGTGGAGAAGATGAAGTCTTCTCGGCTCCTGGGCTCTGGGCCTCTGCATTGATCATTCGTAGCATCTGGTCGTGATCGTCCGACGCTCTGGAGCTTTTCTCTCACCCTTTGGCCCTGACCAGGTTCCACGAAGTGGACCGGGTCATTTGCTCATAGGCAGCGAGGAAGATGCAGGCAGGAGCCTCTGTAGGAGCCTCAGCCTAGCGCTAAGAGTTGCAGGGGCCTTTACGTGATCATGCAAAGCAAATGCCGATGCCGAGCAGAAGGTACTGTACATGTAACAGTGGAGGCAGCAACAGCGACCAGCACCGCAAGGGCAAAAGTTATAAACCATCACGGCCGGAACATCTTGCGGTAGGGATGGTAGGCGAGCTCGTAGTAAACTCAAGGTCATCCAAACCAACAAGGACTGTCTTATGTTTTCAGCTCTAAGTACCGGCAGTGCTATCCATGTGGAGGCAACGAAGAGCTTCTGTTGTCCAGCGGCATCACGGCTGTTCTTAACTGCACAGAAGAACCGCCGATGAGGCGCTGCCAGGCGGGGGCTCTCCAAGACTTCCCGTGTTCTGCGGCCTTGCGGCCACGTGCACGTTCTTAGAATGACTCAGTACGCGTCATCAGGGCACAACTCACAAAGACAAACTCTGTGACCCCGATTGGGGTAAGCCCTTGGGCAAGTCTTTTTTGAGTCTCTCGGGGAACTGTCTCGAGGTGTCGCTGTTGACGAGAGCACAGGGTGCCGGGCGTTCCTGACTATGTGCTCAGGGTTTCGGCAATCAGGTGTTTTGAACATGGGTCCGAAGCCGCAGAGGATTCGGGAAGATGCCCGGCTTGGCCTGAAAGGCCTTACGCTCAGGGCCCCGAAGGATCATAACATCTGTTCATTGCCGGGAGTTTGCGAGAAGTGTTGTGGGGCATGCAGGAAATGTACAGCAAGATCGGCCGCTGGTCTGCAACAGGTTGGCTGCATGCTTCTTCCTTCCTCTGGCCGCACGCAAATAATACTGTTGTGGCAGCACATTGCGTGACGTACGATGACAGAGAGGCGAGGGTTGTGAAGTTGAGACATCTGAGAAGTTGAGGCATCCGCTGGCACCATGTGCCGATGCACGACGACCTCTCAGAGGTGAGTCTTTCAACGACAAACGGTTCATGTTGAGGGGGGTCTGGTGATGTTTGTTCACTTGTTCAAGGCGGTTGGAGAATCTGTGCTTGTCTCCAGCCCGGGCTCCAGCCATATTGTGGGGTCTCGTGGGTAGCGAAAGAGTGGAAACGACGAGGCGCAATGCATGCCCCAGCGCGACTTTACAGCATTTCGATGCCTACAGGGCCTTATGGCCAGATTTGGAAGCAGCCCGAACTCACCCAACAGGACCTCCTGGTGGCCCTGAAAGCCGCTCGCCCTTGGCTGGCTGAAGCCTTGTCTTCCGAAGACACGGCCGGGCCGGCAGCGCTCTGAATGCAGTCTTGTTCTGTTCTAACTAAAAGGGATGTCTGACTTGTTCAGGTGTGTGTGTGTGTGTGAGAGAGGGGGAGAGAGAGTTGGTGAGCCCAGCTTTGAGCTCGGAGCTTCAATGTCTACCATGCCACTTGTATGATTCGATTGGCGGACGAACTGCAGCAGCCTCTGAATTATGTCGACCCTGAAGCTGTCTGTAGGTATGTCTAGATGTGGCAGGTCCTCGTCCACTGCTTCGTTGGCGGAAATCGATCGGTGGGGGTGGCCCTTGGCTACATGCTTTTGGATGAGGCCGAGGGCAGTTCCGGTGATCACGAGGAGGATTGTGGTGTATTGTTCCTCTCGAAGTGTGCAGCATGTGCTCTTGATCCTTGCACTCTCTGAGTCTCTAAGACGAGTTGGCAGGGGCTGAAGTTGCTGGCCCCAGAGACTTCGGCTCTCTCTTGAAATGCTAGCGGCTTGTAGCTGCCAGTTGTGGTCCTTAATACCGATTCCCGAACGAAGCAATGTTGGAGTGTCAGATAAAAAGTATAAGATTAAGCGATATACAAAATACTATACAACACAATGATACAGACTTTTATATACAAAAGATGGGATTTCCCAAGCCGCCCCTGCAGTGCAAGGGCCATGAGCTGCTCGGAGCTCTGGAAGCCGTGGCGGGAGCGCGAGGCCGGTTTACAGTCAAGTATATTGCATAGCGACTATACTAAGAGATATTTGACACGGTCAGGCTGTTCGGAATTGTTTTCGAGGGAGAGGCATCAACAAAACAACAATGCACTAACACAAAAACAAAATGCATCAATACAAAACAAAAATGCACCAAAAACAAAGCAAAGCTATTATTCAGCATGGAAACTCAAGGGGAAGGAGCAGAGGCAGAAAGAAAGAAAGACAAAGAAAGAAAGCCAGAAGGAAAGAAAGAAAGACAGAAAGGAGAAAACAACGAAAGAACGACATTTCTACGACGACGACTACTACCACTACTTCGACTATTGCTGCTAGTGCCAACAGTCTACGACTACTCCAAAAATCCACTTCGATTACTACTGCTAGTACTACCAGTACTAGTACTACAGCAACAGCAACAACGACAAACAACAACCACAACAACAACCACAACAACAACAACAACAACAACAACACCCAGCACCAACTACAACAACAGCAACAACGACTACTAGTATTACGACTACTACTATTACTATTACTTTTACTACTACT